GATAAAATTTCGAAATCTTATTTTTTCATCATACTAACTAAAATAAAATATATATATATATTTTTTCATCTTATTTTTTCATCTTACTAACTAAAATAATATATATATTTCTCATTGACACGATGCACGGCTGTTGCGGTTGGCAGTTTTATCGTGCTAAATTCGGGACGAATTAACACGACAGTAGTTGCAGCGATTCGACGTCAATGCACGTTGCACCGGACAAACGAATCGGTGAACCTAAACGAACGAGCCGCCCACAGGATGTGCACTTGAGTAGAAAGTTTCAAATTATGGTGAAAACCTTCCTGGCAGTAAGCATCTGTGTCATCGGGCAGACTTTCAGTTTTTAAAGTAAAATCGAGATCGCGTCGCCGCGTCAGGCAGATACCTAGAGATCGCCAATTAATCAATTAATTAATTAACAATATAATAAACCGCGCGAAACCGAAAGTTGCGTAAAGTTGCGTAAAGTTAATATTTCGTAATATATATATATAGATTGCGTGTTGAGTGATGCGCACTCGCATGGAAATGTGCTCAGACGAGAAATTATATACACTCTCGTTTTCTTTTTCCTATTTTTCTTCTCTTCTTCTTCGTTATTATTTCGAAATGAAATTCCTAAAGCGATTGCTCCTAGAAATGTTTATCCTCGTTGTACTTTCATCATGTTTCGTATAAATACTTCCCTCCCCTTTTTGATAATTTCTTGCGAGCATTGGATTCGTTGAATTGAAATTCATTGAAAACTTCTGCTAATTAAGCAATGGCAATTAATTAATAATTCTTCAATTGATTAATCTATGTTAGACGAACGTACGTGTAGACTTAATGAAAGATGATTTTCAGTTTTGTTGGGGGGGAAAAAAAGAAACAATTGTTGTAAGGGATTAGGCTAGAGAAATCATCGTGCTCGTTTTATCTAGAACTTTCAGCTTCTTTTCGTCCCTTTATCGTATTAAGTCGTCACTCTGCATCCTCTCAGCCACTCCTCGAGCACGCACTTATTTCCGGAGCACGCGGCTACTTCTCACCTCGCCTCGTCATTCCTTATTCTTCGCCTGATGCTTAAAAAGCGTGGACGTCTGTGAAGATCTAGAGCATCCTTCTTCGCAGCATTCTACAACGCTAGATACCTGAAAAACACTATGTACTAGACTCTGGAAATTCGCTTCGTCCTCTCTGAGAGATATGCGTTGCACATTACGATATTCACACCTTCTTATCAAAACTCTCAAAACTCGAAAGTTCATCTACTGAAGCGTGAGAGGTTTTCTCCAAATGCAATTCAATTCTACGATGCTTCTCTCGATAGTTTTATTTATTCTCTCTCGCAGTTCCTAGACACTGATAGAAACCGACAGTATATATATATATAT